GTGGTAGTTTGTATTAAGTGTTATATTTTTTGGCAAAATTGCTGCGAAAAACGACAGTTTAAAATAATTTAGTGTAAAACGTTTTCAAGGTTGATAATTTCTTACTAAATAAATTGTTATCCCTTTTACGTTATTTTATAACTTGTTTTTGCAATTTCGTCTGGCACATTACCAAGTTAAAAATTGTGTTAACCTAGATAGGTGCATGTGTGCATACATTTGTGTAAATAAATCTATTATGTTGTTTGTAACAATAGAATATGTCATTTATATCTAATGTTATTGATTAACAACACCAACATGCTTAATTAGCTAAACAGATTTTAAAGAAATTAGATATCTATTGAAATTATTTGGATAATTAATACAATACTTTTGGTTCAAATTAATGTATACCATAAAAATATTAATCATGAATTAAAATGCATGATACTTTAAATATGGATACAACTAATTATTAATTACTACAAGATAGCGTTTTTACTTGCGATGAGATTTTCGTTTTATTTGAATTATCTGTGTATAATGGAGGTACGTGCGTATAAAGGGAAAACTTATGGTCAAGGGATGGATAGTAGTATCTCCCAGTAAAATATCATCAAAGGGTTAACTAGGGTTGCCAACTAATCTGCCAAACGTGGCAACTATTGACAAAATCCTCCCGAAAACCCTGGGGAAGCCTATGTTCAGCAGTGGACAATTAATAGCTAATATGGCATGGTTTGGTAATGGAAGTAGGCGCTTTTATATTTTTATTTTTTTTTTTAATTCACAATTATGATTTTTGTTATATTCTAAGTTACATTCACGACGTTAAAATGAACGCCTATTCGTAATCTTGAATCGTGTAGTCAGTTTTTGATTGAGATTGATTGATGATGTGAGATTTGTATAATTGAAATATCATCCAGATGTGTATTCTACGGTCGTTCGTAGAAAGACTATTTCTCTTTGTAAACGTTGCAGTGTTTTGAAACTAATAGATCACTGAGTTGGAAGCTTCAAGTGGAACTGGTGCACTTCCACTCGTAGGGAAACAAGTTGTAAGCGATAGCGGACTGCTTGAGTGCATTGAGTGTAACATGCCTTAGGAATATATTGGCGAGTTGACTGTATCATCTCAATGGACATTTTATGCAAAATGTGTGTAAAAATCAATCTGTCTTTATTATCGTGCGACATTGTAGAACGATCATTTATATATCTAATTACTCAGGATACGGTACCAATTTTATTTTAGATTAACAAATGTTTTACATTGATGAGAAGAGAGAATTTATGACCAGGCATTTGGTACCTGGTAGTTTAGTGCAGCATTTAATACAATGTGTCTTTGAAATAAAACTATTTAATATTTTTTTTTACTTTGTTTATGATTTTGCATTGTGTTGTGTGTCTGAAAACTTAAACTATTAATTCATGAGTACCTGTTATACTTTTTGTCATAAACAACTTTTATTTAATAACTATTTGAAACATGAAAAATAAAATATATACATCTCTAATTTAATTGGCAGTTTTCGAAAAACTTTTCTTACAACCTGTACACACAATATTAAATAAAACAAACGTAAGCGAAATGGGAATTTCCACGAGCAACGCGGAAAATAAACTGAGATTTTTTTATTATATTTCATGTTACTTTTTATAGAAACGTATGAACATAATTAACTAATAATGAAACAAAATCTTGTGATAATAATGAATGTCAGAAATCTCGTCTCTAAATCGATGCTAAAATTAGAGTGAGTTATGTAATTAGGAATCGCATGCTAACATGAATAGTACATCTGAGGATAAGTGACCACCGCCGTTCACGATCACCCGCAATACTAAAGGCATCGCAGGTGTATTTTTGGCCTTTTAAAAAGGAAAATCGCCAAAAATTATCCAAAACAGACATAAAATGTATTACTTTTTATTTTCAAAGAGCCCTTTTATAAGTTTTCCTTATATCTAATAAATATATATAAATACATTATGTATGTATATTTCATAAACCTTTTTTTCTTGTTTGGTTACTGAAGTGTTTTGATTTTTTCTTTTGCGTTGAATTCCTAATTTAAGAAATTAATTAAATAAGAAAGTGACCAAATACACTAATAGTCAAAATAGGTTTGTAGGAGGTTATAATTTTTATAATAAGAGCACAGAATATTGATAATATTTTACCAAAGCTCAAAACTTGTAGCAAGCACCGTTAAAGGATACTTGATTCAAATTTAACTACAGCCCGACTCGTCGCTGGTCTACAGTCACGTCAAGGGCATTCATTCCACTGAGTATGATATACGATTTTTTATTCTGGCTAGCAAATGTTAGATATTTTTAATAGATGTTTTTTATATGTAAATTGGGGTTTTGTCTTTTGACCCTCGATGTTAGTCTTTCTCTATTCGGGGCACAAAATTGTTTATTGTATTTTTTATTTGTAGATTAAGGATAGTACCTTTTTTATATCACTGAGGTGGCAAACAAGCATACGGCCCACCTGATGGTAAGTGGTTACCGTAGCCTATGAACACCTGCAGTACCAGATTTATATATATATATATATATATATATATATATATATATATATATATATATATATATATATATATATATATATATATATATATATATATATATATATACACGTGTACGGCAATTTACGTGTACAAATAGACGATAGATTGAAGAAAGGTCAAGTTAAAAATACTCGTAACCGGCAAGTTTATGTGAATAAATTGATGGATCTGGAGAAATCTAAAGATTCCAATTGAATTAGAATAATGTAAATAGAACACAAAACGCATTCGAAGACCAATCGGGATATATTTGTAAATATATATGCAAGTATTTGTAGTATCTATACACTTTTAATTCCTTATTTGGAACAATAAATAAGTTGAAGCCTATTTGATGGAAAGTAGAATCAATAGTATGTACTTAACTGCTCGTAAAGAAATTAACAATTCTCTCTTGTGTCACAGATAGCTAACTTACTGTTCTAATAAAAATATTTCTTATAATTAGAAGTTATATTTATATATATATTTATATATATATTCTTTACTGCACTAAAACATACAGTAACAACAATAAGTTAATAACAATGTTAGCAAAGGCGAACTTATCTCTAAAAGAGATTTTTTCCAATCAACTTAACACAGTGGCATAGGAAGTAGTGAGTGGGCAGTGGTAGTGCTAAACAGAAGTTAAAATAAATATTTACATAAATTATAAATCATTATATATATATTTGAAAGATACAATATGAATACATACATATGAATATAAACCTACATAAATAAGAATATATTACATTTATATACACACACACATACATATATATACATACATACACACACACACACACACATATATATATACACACATACACACACATGTACATATACACAAGTACATACATATATTTCATTTTCATTTAAGAGTTTCCTCTTGTCGGTGCAACCAATCCATGCATCTTCCTCCAGCCAGCTCTATCCCAGGCCATATCCTTTATCTCCCTATACGACATGACGCCTAGTGTTTCCTTTATCTGTTCCATGTAGTTAGTTAGTTTAACATATATACATATGTTAAATACAACATATAAATATCAAATAAAAGAGAACACAATGATGACAGTCTTCTAATATTTTTTTTATATTTAAACATTTATATTTTACTGAAGTAAATATTATTTTACGGAATTCCATATAACTGATTATTTGATTACAATTATTTTGTTCAATTCCGCTATTATTATTATTTGTACGACTGTCAACGCTCGACGATTAACTACTATTATTATTACTAAAAGTTCTACGACCTTCCACATTAGCCATCAATCTCCGACTGCCATTTCGTCTACGCACGTTTTGTGAAACGTCTTTCACCTCTAAATGAGGCTTCGTTCGATTCTTTGGTGACATTCAGGCAAATTAATGGAACCTAGTGTTTATCCATCCACACTGCACCCAAACTGCAAATTTCACATTCTCAGATCCGAGCATATAAAAATACCTGTGAGAGAACTAACACTATAACTTTTACATTGCCGTAAGAAAAGTTATAAAAAAATTTAATTCAGGTATGTACTAGAAGAATAAAGTAAAATTACATAATACATATTTGATAGGATAGATTACCTAATTGATGCCTATTTAAATGGTTGAACATTAGAAAGAAAGAAATATTTATTTATTCTATTCGTTTTAATTTTTTTTTTAATTATTGCATTTGAGAACAATACAGTCATTGTTTTATATATAATGTCTGTTTTTTCTCTTTTTATTTAGTATACGATCTATTTTGATTATGATAGACCGGTTCAAGTTTGTCTTATTACTTACATCCATTTTCATACCAATATAATACAAGTAGATTTTCTTCGCAAAAAAATTGATTTTAATCGTTAAAATTGAAATCTTTAGCATCGTTTAAGTTTTTTTTTTTGTATACAATCAGTGTAACTTAATTTTTTTTTACAAAGAAATATAGGTTGAGGATCAGGCGATATGTGTGATTGTGTTACTCATTATTATTTTTTAATGTATGTATCTTTATTGTGTCTTAAGTGGATATTAATTTAGATATTTTTTTTTATATTATTTTAAGGGCTTTTACCTTCTTCAGGTATATCAGTCCTATTGTACCCCGAACTGATTACTCAAACAAAACTTTATCTACTTTCCCTAGACGCGGAAAGAGAAGAATTAATGGGCATCAATAATTTACAGAGATGTTCAAAATTTTCTGGTTTAAGTTCAGCTAACATAGACTGAATAAGACCAACATTCAATTTATTTAAGTTAAAGTGGCGCATGAATTCTTCTCTTATATTTAGATATTATATAAACCAATATATTTAAATTTTAATTAAAAAAAAATGTAAAGGGAGCTCGATAAATTATGGACCCGTGTTTTCTTAAAACTAGATTGAAGGGTTAGCTTTGGAGCCGAATGCGAAGAGAATGATAGTGTCTGCAAGTGATGTTCCATCTCATTGTTAGTACACTGATAAATCAGAGCATTCAGGTGGCGTGTCGACTTGGAGCGAGGTTAGTCAAAGGTTGTTTTATATAATTATAACTTCTGCTATTCTATTTGTCCTTTTCTATAGGTTGAATAGAGCTTGTTGAAATTGTATGTTCTGTTAGGTGAAAGACTTGATTGCGGTTTGGGGTTCTAAAGATTAAATCTCGACCGTAATATGTATTTTATAGTCATATAAAGTGTGGTTATGTTTTTTGAATCTGCGTAACATGTGGCGAAACTAATGCGGAAACGTATTTACGGTATACTTGAATAAAAGTGGTAATCGTTGTCTATAAACCTGAACAGTGTCATGAATGTCACTGTAATGACAATAAATAGAAACTTTTCAGCGTCTTATAGCAGTAGGAATGCGTGTACCGCTCTTGATTTACGAGTAGTACAGGAGGCTTGAAATTTTTTGTCATTTTTACTTTTATGTTTTTTAGGGTAAAGCTTAAGTTTCAATAGTAGAATGGGCATTCTAAGGGCTTAGAAGGATGCAGACTAAATGGAAAGGATGGACTTAGATTTCATCTTGCACATAGTTGTAGATATATAAAACTAGAAACTGACTAACTTACAACCGCTGCAAAATTTGTTGGCTCAATGCTTCTAAAACTTTTCGCCTGGAAACATGAAACTTTACATCTCTATTATTACGATACTTTGTATTAAGAAAAGATTTTCCGAAATTTCCGTAGCAACAGGGTTGCAAAGCAGCAAGAAATATATAGTCAGACTTATAAATAAGGATGGGCAATACATTTAAATATTAAATACACTTTTCCAGTGGACAGAACATTCTAAAGAGCAAAACTACGTTTTACGGAGGCAACGTAACGTGACATCGCTTCAAGGTGTGTTAAGTCCCGCCTGCTTTCTCTGTAAATAAATTATGTAGCTTTTAAGCTGTGAAAAGGGAAACCGTGTCATGAGTATGGAAAAATATCTCTCTTTATACGCCACAGAGCGCTTAAATAAGGTATTATTTAACGACATTAAAAACCAAGCAACATGCAGGATTTTGTTTCTACGTGTTATTTTTTCTTTGCTTTTAGGGGTAATTAGAAAATGGAACTCTTATAATGTTATATTCGCTATATAGGCACTATGTGGGTTTGCGAGTCACAGTATCATAAGTTTTAGTTTTAGAATGCAGAACTTTATGAAAATTTACAGGAAAGTGTGCCTTACTTAAAGGACTTATCGATATTTGATTCGTTTGATTTTTCGTTATAAGATTCATAACTCGACTATATTTTTTGTATGTTACGCAAAAATTAAGTTCATGTGGAAGCGAATTTGGTGATTATTTTTTTTTAATAATCTAAATTATAATCGAATTACATCAAATGAAAGTTTGAATACATTTTCTATATTACTATTTTTACGGCCTAATGTCTCTTACGCATTTTAAGAGATATATTTACCTTAGAAAAGCTAGAGTTTCTTCACAATTTTCTTATAAATACTCAAATAGTGGTTATCAGTCGACATTATATTGCACAAGAGTTTCTGATTCTCAAGAAAATAGCTTTGTCTATGGCGAAAATATTATTGTAGAACTATACGTAGGAATAAACTCTACTGATTATCTACTAACAAATATATTTATAAAATTATTTAAAAATTGACAAAAATTTTTCGTAATATGTGCTCAAAAATATACAGCTAAATATATAGTTCTTTTTGAAAGTTGTTTAATAATAGCTTATAATTACAGAGGTATAAACATCTATATAGTTACGGAACCTCATTAATGCTTATCAGACATACACTTGGCCAGTATTTTTGTATTCGGGACCACAACTCACGTATTCCAAGATCTGTTTCGTCTACGTTTACATCGTACCTTGTTATTGAACGTCTGATATAAATTACGTTTTCAATATTATGTTTAACCTCTAGAGATAGGTCAAAAGTACGGTTTGAAATAGGTTAAAATATTTTTGGTATTGACAAATATGATAAAAAGTATTAAATGTGGTTTGGACACAGTTAATTTGTTGTATTTTTTGTTCTTTGTATAGCTATAAGTTACTAATATTATAAACTAGCTTTGCTCCTCTTTGATCATGTTAACGCAAAAAAAAAAATGAAAATATATGTGAAAAAAACTTTGAAGACTGGAGATGAAAAATAAAAAAAAATTAGGATAAACAGTGTATCTATTGTGTATAGTGTATATATTAGATACTACACAATATACAGTACAAATGTCGTAGTATTACTAGTATGACATCATTCATATTAACCCAATAATACTATCCTCCTTTCGGTAGTTGACTGTATACTTACATAGTAACATATGTTATAACTATTGTAAAAACTACTACATTTGCAAAAGATATAAAACGTGTTACTATGTAGGTATTTAATTGAGGAACAACAGACATGAGAATTAAGGCGTCAACTTGATTGATATGGGATACCGTTCTACAAACTCAATGGGCCGTGCAGAATTGTTTCCATTTGTCTTTCTGTCAGGCTTTTACTTCACTAAACTATTTGTATGTATTTTTTATGGGAAAGGATAGCCCTCTGTTACCAAGTGTGTAAAAGGATGAATTATTTTAATATTAACCGGCTATTTTATACAATATTTTTATTATTTTAAGTTTGAGATACAGATTATTGTAATTATCCGTCATTGGGTCTCTGAGGATGATGGATGATATCCTATTAAATTCTTAAGTCTTCTAAAACTTTCAATTTGTCTTTTCTTTCTCTGTATGTGTCACGTAACTTCTTCATAATTTTCAATCGATTTTGATGACTATTTTGATTGTTAATAAGGTTTACTTTCATATCGATCCAATGAGAGAATTATGTAGTGACGGAATAAGTATACATGCCATACTCCCATAAGGGTATTTAAAGAGGGAAAAGGGGGCGTGCCCCCTTCAGAATTGTTCGGTGTTCACCTCAGAATCAGGAGTGGAGCTTTCAACTATGGGAAAACTCATTTCTAAGAGTACGTGTGCGCCTATTATAATGAAGTTATGATGGAATAAACGCACTTATATATACATGTATGTAAACCTTAAAAACATTCCACTCTTTTTTCAGACAGTCGTGAAATAAATGTATATTAGTGTTACTTCTACCTAGTCTAATATTTTTTATATTACAAAGACATATTAGCCCCATCATATCTAAACCTAATTATATATAAATTTACATAATTTGATTCAAGCCCCCCTGGACAAAGAAGTATTGTAATTAAATAAGTAAAGATTTTAGTATTTATATATGTGGGCCCGCTCGTATACTTCCATTTAATTATAGTTCTATATAAGACTATTACAAAAGCCGTGGTAATGAAATACAGAGAAAATTGAATGAATGTTAAACATCTCTTTAATCAAGGAACGAAAATTACATAGCCTTCATTAACGTTTTAATTATAGACTGATTTACACACTCAGATATAACCAAGGTTATAAATAGTCATTAAAAGACATTTGTAATGTATTTTTCTCATATTTCTCGTTGATATCCAAAAAAGACAATGTTTGAATTGAATCTTAATAAAATTCACTTAACTGGAAGTAGGTTTATGTTATATCAAATATATTACGTATGTCTTGTATTTGCAATAGGATTACATGTAGTGAAAGGGCAAACCACCCCTTTAAATGTAAGTGAAATAGGTATGTATTAAATTTTAAAGTGATTAATTTAACGAAAATGTAAATAAACAAATGAATTATTGATTTGATCATATAATGTTGATGTCCAGTAGTAGTTATAAAGTTGATTAATGGATTAAATATTTCGATTCGCTATTAATTTCATTCAGAGAGTTTCTGTGATAATTTCAATAGACTGTGGTTGCCTCATCATGAAGTTTTTTTTTTATACAACTTAGAATGGCAAACAAGCTGACGGCCCACCTGATGGAAAGTGGTAACCATCGCCTATAGACATGAGCAGTACCATGGACATAACAGAGTATACTGTTTCGCCCATGATACCCCTCATGCGTTGCCATTCCTGAGGACTCAGGCGTTATTCCTCCGTACCCAGTAAATTCATGCCATATGCCACCCTTCAAACCGAAACACAGCCATGCAAACACAACTGCATTACGGTTGAAACACGAATGGGACAGAGGTACCCAAGCAATCGACTTTTGTACAAAGTCTCCCTCTGGTATTTAAACAGATCCTATTGAAACAGACATAGTCCCAATATAGAATAAGCCAGCCCTTCCTATCCTGTGGGTATCGTAAGCGGCGACTAAGGAATTTCGTGGTTCCTTCCCTCATTGACTACCATAAGTGACGGTCCTGAACCACCTGCATCGTCTAACTCCCTGTAATATACGACTATATTACTACTAATAAAATTAATGTATAAGTGAGTTTGTTGGTTTTTGTTTGGCCTTTTTAATGGTACTATCAATCCTCATAAAATTTGGCCCACATGTAATATTTGGAATGAAGAAGGATATAGTATTTACGTAAGTCAATCAATATACCGTGATCAGACAAATCCACGAGTAAAGAATAGTATGTAATAATTCTGCATAAATTAAGTATCACAATGATTTTAATTAGATGATTATCTGTTGTTTACTTTATTACGAATTTTAAAATTGTCATTTAAACGTACAAGTAAATATACGTAATAATATTTGTTGTATATATGTGTAATGTTAAAATATATAAATATATATTTTATTTGGCAATTTTTGAAATATGCTTTTCAACGACTTACGTACAATATACTATAATAGTTTTGGAACTTATGACGTAACTTTGAAGTAATAACATTATACTTTGGCAAGTAATGTTTGGTCAGTTTTAGTGTTCAGTTGTTTTGAAGTTTAGTATCAGTTATTTTACTTTGCTAACTTTACTAACACAATATGAATTTTTCTGACTGAAACAATGCAATATACTTTAATTTTTTTTAGAGAACGCGACAACTGAAGCTGACAATTTGGAGGTCACTGATCTATCAGAGTCGGAAATTGTAGACGCCATGAATTTTGATGTGGAAGTTTATAGTACAATATCATTTCACTATTTAAATTCACAGAACGTAAATCCAGAAAATGTGAAATTTCAACCGATAAATCAAACAATGGAGAGGTGCTACGATGACTATATTAGATGTATACTCACACAGTGAGTACATATATGTAATTAGACAGAGATGTATATCGCGTAATGTTTATATAAAACAGGAAAAATATTTATGTATTTATTTAACTCTTTATTGCACTAAAAACTTAAAAATAAACAATAACATATAAACAATTCAAGTGAATACAGTAGCGTGAAGTACAGATTAAAATATACACACAAAGGTACAAAAGGCGGTCTTATCGCTTGGGCAATCTCTTATAGACAACCTTTGGTTAAAGGAGAATATATAGAAGTGGGTAGGTGGCGCAAGAGCGAATTCATAATTTTTACGTACATAAAATACAAAACCTATAATGCATAAAAGCATCAAATACATATTATTTATTAAACTACTTATTATAACAAATAGGTAATATATAATATATACTAAGTAAGTTTTCCTGTTTTTTGCTGCTTTTTGTATAATTGGCAACATATGGTTTTTTTTTATTTTTTTAATAAAATAATATTTATATTATTCGTTCACATATAACTTTCTATAGGTAAAAGAAATTTTAAAATTAAGTGAATCAGTTTTTGAGTTTCTCCTTATCAAACATACATTTATCCTTTTCAAACATACATACATACAAATTTTGAGATTTTTAATCTTAAATTGAAATATTCTTGTAGATCAAGTTTCATCAAATATGAATTACTAACATTACTACTATAATATTCGAAATTTGTAAATTTGTTCGAAAATACTATACAAATTTTGAGAAAGATGAAAAGTATTTGTTAAACAGAAAAGTTGCAGAGAAAAATAAATTTTAATGACAAGTTACAAATTAAGTATTTACACGACACACAATTGAATATAGTCTTTTTAATATTAAATACTTCTAATGTAATAACCTGTATTCAAGAAAATAATGTTGTCATTCACTCATTCATTTAAAACTACACTATATATTATTTATTCACACTAGTTGACCCGAGATAAGCTGCCTGTGTATATTTAAATTTGTTTTTCTTTTATCGATCTATTACTGGCGTTAAAAAAACGAATCAGTCAAATTGTTGTAAAAAAAAAAAAAAAAAGGAATTACTAACATTACTATATTATATTCAATATGTTTAATATTCGAAATTTGTAAATTTGTTCAAAAATACTATACAAATTTATTTTGGGCTAACTGACCTGGTTTATATACTATATATATTTAGGTGTATTGTTTTGTTAAATTTTCGTACTTATGCAATTTAGAGTGGCAAACAAGTTGACAGCCCACTTAATGGAGAGTCCTTACCGTCGCTTATATACATGAGTGGTACTATTGACATCACAGAATGTACTGTGACATCCATGGCTTTTCTCATGCGTTGTGTTGTTATGAGGGCTATGGTGTTATGTCTCCTCCTGAAATTTCACTCTCACGTCAAAACAAACTGAAACAAAGCTATGTAGGTAAATACAGCTACTTCACGGCAGAAACACGAGAGGGACAGTAGGGATGGAGAGGGAGGTACACATGCAGATAACTATGGTACAGTCTCCTTCTAGTAAAATAAAATACTGAAGAAACTGCTTTTTTGTAAAGCAAAATCCTGCTTGTATTTCAGACCAGTTAGAGAGCAAGTTTGCGCTGCAAATGAACCGAATAAGGGCTACGGTTACAACACATTGGATTCAATTTGCGATGCATACTTCGATAACTGCAGAAGAGGAATCAGTAAGTAAATACACTATTTTTTTTATGAAATTTGGAATTTAAAACAAGCCAATTGAAAGTGATATCCATTGCTGATAAGCATAAATAGTATTATGTACATTTGACATATAACAACAGTTGCCATTTCTGAAGATAAAAATATTATGTCTGTGTGCTAAGTAATTTCATTACCATATCCTTTTAAACTGAAATAATGGTGAAATAAGACGAATTCTGTGAGTTTATAATATAAAAACGTGCGCATAATTTTTATAATCACAAAGTGATATCAAGTATCAAACCAACATCATTAATACAATAAACAGTACGTTCTGTGATGTCCATACGTGCATGCATGCGCGCACGTACACGTGCGCGCGCGCACACACACACACACACACAACAAACACACGCTCAAGCTCATCTTACATCTCCTACACGTTGCACACATCACATGCACTAATTTCGAAGCGTTAATTAATTTAATTGTTGCTGACTGTGATTGATAAAATTATGGTTTCACAAAAGAGAGAGGGTTTCAAAAGAGAGCATTGATGTCTATAGCATAGGTATAAAACTAGTTTAGGTATTAGTAGTATTAGGTAGTCTAGGAAGTCCTCATTTTTGGTAACCCTTTTTTCTGGTTTTTACTTATAAGACACTCGTTGTACTTTTGGCATTTTATATTTCAAATGTTGGTTATAAGTAAATTATTGTTTATAGACAACTTTATTTTTTACAAAACATCCAAAAAATGAGAATGCTATCAATTCAAATCAATACCAATTTCGTAGAAGATTATGTGGTACAAAATATTAAATTATAATGACAATAGTAAACAAGTTAACGGTCCCTTTGATGAAAAGACGAAGCTGTCTACGGGTATGAACAAGCCTATCGATTTTATAGAACATACCCTCTTTCCCCTTCAAACCTCTTAAGTTACTTTTAAGGTTTGAAGACACGCTTCGTGTCTCTTATGTTAGAAATTGCATTGGATAAATTTTTGTTCAAACTGAAATACAATAATATATAATACATTGTTATAAAATTACGACAATGTATTGTATTATATATATATATATATATATATATATATATATATATATATATATATATATATATATATATATTTATTCGGTATGATACGAGTATTTATTGTTATATTAATTTATATTAATAGGTACATTTTTTATTTTTTGTGTATTTACTACTGTCCTTATATATCCCTTATATATATTATATATATGTATATTTGAAATCCTATAAATGAAAATTAACACCAGTTTTAATGAATGAGTTACCTTAAATCACATTGTATTATGTGTTCATTGACTTTTAAGAAAGGGCTTTTAGTGCTAACTATCTACTTATAGTATACTAAGTTAAGTTTTACTTACAAAATATATCTTTCAGGATTTTGGAGAATTGTCAAGGATGGAGCGTGTGATTATAAAAGTAAAAATACACATACTGTGTATTCCTTTGGAAGACGATAAAAGGTGACAAGAAGGTGTTATGGTGGTTATTTTCATTCTTCATACAAAATTAAAATGTTTTTTTGTTAATTGTATAATTATTATTTTAAGATCAACATTTAGTTGCTGGTCACAGTCACAACACTACTAACACTATTGAATTCAAATTTGGAATTTATTAACATATTGCAAAGGAAATAATTGAAAAAATATTTTTGTTTTCTTTGCTAGGAGGAAAATTTTAAAATGGATTTCTTGGTCAAAATAGGGTATCATAATTAACTATTGTTATAATTATTATTATATTACATAATATAATTTTATTTTATGTATATTTAAATTAAATATTTTTTATTTAAAATGAAACAATAACCTATTTAGATACTCTATTATGTGTGGAACCTTCGGCGTGTAAGTTCACTCACATTTGAACGGTTTTATTTAATATATAAACTATTTTATGTGTTGTATCTGTTTTGATATCGTTCGTGTACGATATTCATTTTGGTAAATATATTATTTATTCAAGAACTCGATTCAATTCAAATTCCTTACAACTACCATACATTTCTAATATGTTTTGTGCCTTAAAAAAGCGACTTTAATATATAACATGCCGATGAAGAATTTTGTTTCGCAAACAGCTTATTGTAATTTATATCTTCAATATGAATTTAATTATTATTTAACACCTTTTAAAGTTTTTTTTTTAAATTAGCTTAACTTTTCGTTAAGCGGTAGTAAACTTGCCCCACGCGGGATATTTAATTTTGAACTAAAAATCGGGACGTACCGCCAAAATCGTGATGTCTGGCAACGATCTTAGCTATGTATAATAAGTATAATTGTATGAACAAAATTAAAATTCAAATATTTTATTTCACTCTCCATGTATAATATAATATAATATAAAATGAACAATATATTGTGGAGATTGATGGCTGAATTAGGAAAACCTGTGACATCATCACAATCTTCAGACAAGTTGTAACAACAAGAACGTGTGGTCCCGGCATAGAATAGGCCACACCCTTCCTTTTTTGTAGATGTTGTAAGAGGTGATTGAGGGAAATTAATGGTCGAGGAATGGGTAGCAGCGTCCCTCTTAAAACATCACCAAGGACTAACTACCGTTGTCGACCCGCCTGTAAAGCGTGGCAACTACTGGCAAAGTCCTACAAGAGGGAGGCCTATGTTCAGTAGTGGACAGTTAACGGTTGATATCATCATCGTCAAGGCAAAAATTATCCCTTGTCCTTTTATATCCTTGTCTGTATAACATAACGATTCATGGGTAAGGCAACAAATAAACTACCCGATATTCACATCTAGATAATTACTAGTAAAGAGAGAGGAATGCAAAATTACATCTGTAGGATATATAGGATATCCCGAAATGTTTCAGCTATCCTATTGTTATATGTTTTATCGAAAACTATACAAAGTAATAAAGTAGTAGACGTCTAAAATGAAATTTCACTGGATTTTTAGTTCATGAATAAAACTCATACAAAATTTCTTGGAACTCTGTGAAACGTGATCCAATGCAAAACATTCACTGAAGACAGATTAAAGTTTTAAGCGCTTCAACGGTAGATAAAGACTTGGCTACACTGTGCTGTGCAACAGTATTATTTGGATGCTCTAATTTCCAAGTTTTACGAGGTCTACATTGTGTCTACGTACGGTGGAGGGGTTTCGGTTTTATGAACGTTTCATTGTATCGCGACAGCGAAACATCCTAGTTGTTCTCATTTTCATTGTTATTTATTTAATTATGAAAATACCTAAGTTAATATTGTCTACTTAACATTAGAATCTAAAATTAGAATAAAATAAATCAATTACATCAAAACATTTCATATTTAAAGGTAAAAATGGTATCGTTACAGTTTCTAAGTAAAATTTTTAAGTAACAGGTTTTCAATTCGTTGAATTCTGTCTTCCTTATTCATAAAAATATCAAACCTCTCGTAAACCTATTATAATTATAGAACTGTTTTGTCTATTTTTTGCGCTAAATTCTCAGTTTCAATGAAAGTAATCAAATAGTGAAATTAGTTAGAATAGGATTAGTAGGTTTAATTTTTATGAATCCTTATTTATAAAACTACCTCCTTGGGTAAGTGTTTATTTTTTTTTTAAATTGTCGACGTGATCGATTTCACTGATTTCGGTAATTTTGTGATTATTGAAAAAAAAAAAAAACTGTTTATAAACACACGATTCTGCGTTCTAATTTCAAATATAATATTTACGGTATAATAGGTATCTCTGAGAGAAATTTTGTAAGTCATTAGTGTGTATTATAAAATTTATTTGTATTTAATATTGTATATTATGATATATTTAAATATAAATTCGATAGCAATAATTAATATTTAGAGTATAAGTATTCATTTAGTCATGAATGTTTATTTGTTTGTGAAAAAATATTTTCACAAATATATATACAATCTAAAAAGACTTACTAGTAACGCATTTTTCTATATGACGAGTCATTAAGTGCTTTTATACTCATACATAGCACTTAACGGTTTGATTTTATCGTCACTATAATCTTAATAGGCAAATTAATGCAATTGTACGAAGTCCCTTTTAATTTTACGTTGACGACGACGTCATGCTGGTACCATAGACTCGCATGGAAAATTATTTACTGGAATCGTCCATAGAAATAAATCTACGAAGAGTTATCAGTGCATAAAAATATTAACAAAAGAAAAACGATTACACTCTCTACATAGTTGTCTACATGGATAACCTTATTTCTGCCGTCATGCAGTTTCATAGCATGCTGTTATTAAAGGGTGAAATTTTATGACAGTAAATTTACTTGGGAGCGTGTTTCAAGAACTTTATGTCACAGACTACAAGAAACAGTTACAATATTACGAAAAATTTGTATGTTTTCTGATTGATAATATACTATAGTACTTTAGTACTGTATTAACATTAAAAATACATTAAGTATTATATATTATAATAAAAATAGATATGCGTTGGAATGAAACATGTTTTTTGACATGCATTCTTGTGAAAATGTGAAATAACAATAAACATATGTATATTTTATATTAAAATGTTTGATATTAATAGATAAATAAAAATAACACATGGTTTAATATCTTAAGCTAGAATGAATTTATATGAAATGTTATAAATATGTCACAAAGACTTTTACGATACTTATTACCTACTTAAGCAATATGTTTATTACCTGTTATTTATATGTATGTATAAAAGGCAACTGCAACTGTGTCGTAGTTTATCCTGTGTAATATTGTACACAATTTTGTACGAAATAGGTGCATGAAGAATAAATAAAGCTGACATAAAAGCTAAAAGCTCTGCAGTCATTTTATAGCTGTTAATATCAGAGGGGTAACAAATGCTCTCAACATTGTTATTATAGAAAATATAATTATGAACAATATTTTCCATTTATTAATATAATATAAAAATATTTATGTGAAAGTGGAGGGATGCAGGTGCTAGGGGTAGCTTAGACCAAAGACTATATACGAGTATGTACATTATGAGTACGCATATTTCTTTTAAAAAGGCCTGCAATTTTTATGATGTTGCGGAAGCTCATGGGCAGTGGTAATCACTAATCATCAGATGAGCCGTATGCTCGTTTGCATTACATAGTGTGGTGTCTAAGGAATTCTGTGTCTAAGTCTTAAGAACCGGTGGATATGAATAAAGGTGGATAGAGCAAAAGATACCTTTAGGACTTCGTTTTCTCTGTATATTTTACAAGCCTATAGCTGTGAAGAGAGATAATAAGCCAACGATGTTATTCACGTAAGGAATTTTTCTTTTTTTTTCTGAGCAGTTAGACAGATCCTTTGTAAAAAATATTCTATATATTGATTCAGCTACTAAACTATTATCACATCAAATTTCATTAAGATCAATTTACTACCGAAGCTTCCAAGGTTTTCTTTAAGGATCGAGTACCAAAAATTTATGGCATTTGGCACTCGGGAATTTAGTCTGTCTATCCCTTATTAATATACCAACCCGCTGACCCAGCGTGGTGACGTATGGCCATAAATTCTCTAATGAAAAGGACCAATAAAGTATGGATAAATACAGGCTGAAATGAATTCCTTAATATGTATATATATGTCGGATTATTTCGTAAAGATACTTTAAATGCATAGCCTAAAATATAATAGGTCTAATATATGTATTATTATTTTACATTAGAAATACGAAAGAGTATTAAAATAAAAGTGATCACGTACCAGTGGAAGGAGCGCAATAGATATATAGTATGTTATTTTAATAAAAATATCTAAGTTGATATTATCTACACAACATTAGAACAACAATATACTTTAGTAAAATAAAAAATATTTCAAATACAGAAATGATTTTGTTACAGTTTTTAAACGACTGTCTCCATTTAATAGACTTTTTTCATAAGGCTGTGTTACTTAATCACGTCGACAATTTTAAGTCGATTTTGATTTCCCACACGATAGAGTTTCCCGTCTTGATCCCATATTGAAATAATACGGTTGTCTGGAAGAGATTGCTTAGTGATAAGGTCGCCTTTTGTATAATTTCTTATTACAGTTAAATGTATTTACTATTTTATAAATGGTGCAATAAAGTGTAAATAAAGAAAGAAATAAATAAATTATTATACTAGCTGTCTATCGCGGCTATGGCTATTTGAATCCATACATAAGGTATCCTATGTGCTAAGTTAGAATATAACCTAGCCGTGTACGAAATTTCATTCAAATCAGTTCAGTAGTTTTAGCGTGAAAGAGTAACAAATATCCATCCATTTATATATCTATCGTTACCACTATTACGCGATTGCGTGTTAGTCGAAGGAGCGAAAAGTTGATGCAGCATGTCATTTTAATGAGTAATATTTACTTTATAAGAGAAAATTATCGATAAGAGAGATTTTAAAAATGTATTGCCATATAGGTGAACATGTGTAATTTTTTTAGATCATTAAGGTGGTAAACAAGTATATGGCCCTTGGCTTGCAATACCAGGAACATTGCACATTTGTTGCTGGCCCTGAAGACACCTCTTTATCCCTTCTTTGAAGAACTCTATGCTATAGCTCCTTGGAAAAACCTTAACACGGAGCTTATTCCAGAAATTAGGTCTTATTCTTAACGTAGGTACTATAAAACTAAACTTACTATTGTATGTTTAATACGAGAGCCAACATTGTAACCAAGCGTCCGGCAAATAGTCGTAGAGTTGGATACCACTTTACGTTCACTATAATGGGTTATCCAATTTGCCGAGACTCTTGCAAAATACTAAAGAAAATACTATTTTATACTTACACTGATGTTTAAGCAATTGTCGCTTCGGAGGATTGCTACCGAGGTCTAATAACTTGACTGAAAACTAAAACCGATTAACACGTACAAAATACTACAATTCTAGGAGTAAAGAAAAATGAATTCGGTCAGATGAAAGGGTTCCGTATTAAAATTAATCGTTCGTACATTTTTATACGAAATAGACACTTAATAGTTATTATTGTTGATAATGTAATTTGTAATTTCTTATTTTGAGTCATAATTTTGATTTAAAATTTTGTT